ATTACCATACTGAGATGTATACTGATATGCATTACCATACTGAGATGTATACTGATATGATATTACCATACTGAGATGTATATTGATATGCTATTACCATACTGAGATGTATACTGATATGCTATTACCATATTGAGATGTATACTGATATGCTATTACCATACTGAGATGTATACTGATATGCTATTACCATACTGAGATGTACATGTTCTATGGTATACTAAATGTTGGACGGATTTTCCATGACATTCATAAATACTGCCATGAGCAAATATCCATGTTTATCCGAAGACCTCATAACCCATCACATGTCTACTCTTGTTTATATATTAAGCACAGTAAACTAAGTGAACTTAAAACTAAAGTGTAATTTATGTAAAAAATTAATACCATACTGAGATGTATACTGATATGCCATTACCATACTGAGATGTATACTGATATGCTATTACCATACTGAGATGTATACTGATATGCTATTACCATACTGAGATGTATACTGATATGATATTACCATACTGAGATGTATACTGATATATTACCATACTGAGATGTATACTGATATGCTATTACCATACTGAGATGTACACTGATATGCTATTACCATACTGAGATGTACACTGATATGCCATTACCATACTGAGATGTATACTGATATGCCATTACCATACTGAGATGTATACTGATATGCTATTACCATACTGAGATGTATACTGATATGCTATTACCATACTGAGATGTATACTGATATGCTATTACCATACTGAGATGTATACTGATATGCTATTACCATACTGAAATGTATACTGATATGCTATTACCATACTGAGATGTATACTGATATGCCATTACCATACTGAGATGTATACTGATATGCTATTACCATACTGAGATGTATACTGATATGCTATTACCATACTGAGATGTACATGTTCTATGGTATACTAAATGTTGGACGGATTTTCCATGACATTCATAAATACTGCCATGAGCAAATATCCATGTTTATCCGAAGACCTCATAACCCATCACATGTCTACTCTTGTTTATATATTAAGCACAGTAAAC